ACCCTCATTTGACATATTTCCCTCTTCTGCTTGGACAGTAATAAATTTAACAGCTTTTTTCATGACATTGAGAATTTTGACCAGTTCCTCAAGAGCTTTGTTCAAATCACACACCACATACCACTGCCCATTATAAATCCCCTCAATTTTTTCCATAGCTTGTTATACTGAGAAGTTTCACAGAATACCTGTTTTACTGAGTTTTTTTTTTAAATTTAATTCCTAAAGAGCAAACAGATGAATTGATTTTTTTATTTTATTAATGAGTAAAAACCACATTTCCCTCTTACTTTGCATTAAAAATTAAGCATCTAGCCAGATTACCAGGAGAAAAAGTTGATAAAATCAAACACACAAATTTCATTTCTAGTCTCAAAATATACTGTGTAAATGATAGCACCAGTTTGCTGCAGCAAAAGTGTTTTAAAATTTCTAGAATTCTTCTACAATAGTAATCTGATGAACATCTGAAGACCAATTTCTTCATAAAAAAAACTTTTTTTTTAACTTATCATTTTTGTACATAACATATTTCTTAATATATACATCTGGAGTTGTGTTCACCCCAGAAAAGCACCTCAGATTAAATAACCTTAACTATCAAGCAGCAATATCACCATAAATTATTACACAAAATCAGAATATTGATGAAGTGTGAGTTTGTGTTTTCAGTTTGTCATTTTTGGAGAGATCTAAATGCAATTTGTACTCACATTTTTTGTAAGTTACCAAGTGAGTTAAATAATCCTTCAGGAAGGAGAGTCAGCCTGTTGGAAGATAAGTTTCTGAAAAAAAAAATAAAAGGAAATGAAAAGTCATCCCACAAATCAAACACTGAATATATTAAATTATTGATGACAAATTGACTGCAATCATCTTTTTGCCATAAAGAGAGCAGGGACTTGAGATCAGGAGTCTTGATGCCTGACTAGGAGAGAACTCCTAACAGCTGACTGTGAGTTACTGATGCATGTACATGTAAACTATACATTCAGTAATTGACTCAACATTTTACCTCTAACAAACTTACATTATCCTTAGATTCTTGCAACCAGAAAATTGAGTCTTATTTAGCTTGAACATGTGATTGTTTGAAACATCACTGAAAAAAAATGGACAACAACAACAATGTATTATAGCTGAAGTTTATGGCTTTTTTTTAATTAGAGTCCAACAGCTTCTCAAAGCTAAAAGTTAGACGATCTCAGCTTATAGGCAAATAAATATGATATATTTGACTTGCTGATCCAAGAGAGTTAAATTGGACGGACAGAAGTGTCTCTCTATTTCCTTTGATTTGGTTTAGAGTAAATTATATCACATTGAAAGTATTAACTTACTTATTCACTAAAAGATTCCTCACAAAAATAAATAATGACATGTAGCACAAGCTTTACACTGGAAACCTTGAACAATATTGTTTATTCTTACAATCTTGGTTACAGGAGGAAAGAGTGATATTCCCTGTAATCAAATGTACATGTACTGGTGCATGGTAAAGGTATTAAATGGTGCGTACAACTTGTAAACAAAACATAAAATACTTTGTGAATGTAAAGTATGAGAGTTTATCTATATTCATAAGTAAGTTTTGACAGTTACAGAATAAACATTGTAGGTTGAAATGACTAAATGAGAAAAAATATCTCTACTAACCAGGTGGGCCATAAATCTGAGCAGAAAAAACTTTGCATAAAAAAATGAGGTGGTTAAGATAATTATTTTATATATTTGGGTTCAAGTAGAGGGGGAGACTTCAATTCAAACAAACTTTTGAATTTTGAAGGCCAAACAGTTAAATACAGCTTACTAAATTGAACAATCATGGTGCACATATTAACTGGTAGGTGTCATAACTCACATTATTCTAATATTCCTCAGTTTCCTAAAGACAGCTTCATCCAGGAGGAATAATTTGTTGCGACTAAGATCACTGAGGAAGAAAAATTACAAATTATAAACTAAAATAAATAAAAAATAAATGTCAGTGAGTAATAAAGTAAATTACAGGTGTTATAAAATATACAGACCAAAATTAAAATGCCTCAATGAAATATTTCGTAATAAGAGTAATTATTCTATACAAGATACATGTATAAATGCAAAAGAGAACTGGTAAAAATCAAAATACAAATCTTATAGAGGGATAAACAGATCTTATAAACAGAGGCCCAGTATATTGAATTAATAAACTGGCAAAGATCAACTGATAAGTTAGTTTAGTTGCAAATAAAGAAACCTCTCCTTTTCATAGCTTTTTACAGCATACACCGTATATCTATTGGAAATAAACACTGTAACTTTCCATACTGTATCAGTTTTTGCTGATAATTGTTCCTAATCAATAATCAATTTACGCAGGATTTTTTATAAAAACTGAATTAATTCCCATTTTAATCAATTTTAATTCAATCCTCACATTTACTGTGTGGAAAGGATATCAATTTATTTTCACATGAAGTATTTGTTTGGTAAGCTTCGTGCCTCAATAAACCCTTTTACTTCCACAAATATGAAATTATCGTACCCTTTCTGATATCAAAGTCGAAAAAATTATCAGCCGGGGCATGGTAGGTTAATCAGTCTTAGACCAAATTCTTTGCACTGATAGGTAACAAAAGCTCTTACACTAATTAATAATGAGAATTACAACTCCACTCTTGGGACTAAAGAGGTTAAACTTTCTCAAATGTGAAGAGAGAGCTTAACCTACTGGAATGTACCATGATAAGCTTAACTAAATTCTGCTGTTAAGAGGAATCTAGAATTAAATTCCTAATTTTTACAATCTGAGAGGTAGAATTAAAACAAAAACAAAAAAACAAAAAACATGGACTGGGGAAGGGAATTGGTATGACCCACCCTTTTTTCTTTCTATCTTATCAGCACCCTCACTTATTAAAGAAAGGGAGCAGTTGCAAGATAACTTGACCAGCCTTTAACATTTTGTCATCTTATCTCGCAAGACATCTGAGAAAACCCAAATAATATGGGTCTCATATTTTCTTACTTTCCTACAAGAAATTGTGTACATCATATTTGGTTGAGCAGCAAGCTAAAGCATGCATGATACTCAACAGGAAATCAAGAATTCTACAATATGTTAAAAAAAAAAAAAACTGAAAACCAGTAAATACCAAATCTACGATGTACGCACATCCAATTCGTGTACATGCGAATTTTAACCCGCACTGCTGTTTTCTCAGCTTATGTGAGGATAGTATAGCACATTTAAACATACTACTCACAGCTTTGTTAATCTGTTCAACCCTGAGAACGCATCTGGTTCGATCTTTTCTAGTTCATTGCCAGACAAAAGTCTGAAAAAAAAAAAAACACACACACACACAACATCAATTAACACTGACGAGGATTTTCGAGTCAGAGGCTAAGTTGTCTTCTAATTACCATCGGAAGTGCCATAAAATTTTGTAAATTATCGTGAGCCTAACTGAGGGGAAGTGAGCACTACATCATCGTGTACTATCTGCGTAGCAGGAAGCCACTTCGATTGATTCCCATTGACTCTTTCAATTATTGCAACCGGGCACGCAAAACTTCGAGCGACATAAAAAGCCAGAAAGATAAACACAATAAGTTTATTTTGAAAATAAGTACACACTTATACGCACAAAGAAACATTGTGGACAGCGTTGAGAAACGGGGATGGAGATTGGAAGTAAATAGCAAATTCCTTCCATATTAAATCAAGCAATCAATATTCAGAAACTTTCTCACAAGTATTTGTATGTTCTTTGGGGTTATTGATATTGGTCACTATAAACTTTGCAAATAATGCAACCATAGGATGTATAACAAATTGAACAATGGAAACTTTGCGTAAAATAATAGAAAATTCAATTAATGTGCATGCATGTTAATATCATTTGTAGCTACCCGGTTCATTAATCAAATGAACTTTAACTTTCCATGAAATAAAAAAAAGAAAACATAAAGATTCCACTTACAATCGCTTTATTTTTGTGAGATTTTTCCTTTTGAAGGCATTGTTTTTGATCGTCTGTATCGCATTATCTGACAGATCGCTGCAATGGAGGCAAAAAGGCAAAGGCTTCAAAATTCCTACTATGCTCAAAAACCATGACTAACTTGGCTTTTCATAGAGTCAGTTAGGATATTAACTGCGGCTTTACAATTGGAGAAGAGTTCTATGTCGAGAAAAAATTACACAGAAAACACAGTAAAGACAAGAATATAAACATCAGCGTAATCCTAAAACGACAAAGCCCATAACATACGATCGGTCTTACTCACAGTTCGAATGTGTCGTCCGGCAGATCATTAGGGTTTATTGGCGTTTTCAATCCTTGGTTCGCACAGTTTACTGAATAACCATTCGCTTTTTGTTCACATCCACATTTCGGTGGGCAGTTAAATGATGGCATCACTCCATAACCAAACAGCATCAGCAACGCAAAGATGAGATTTGTAAAAGCTGTTTTCATTTGCATCATGGCACGGCGTAAAGGAACTTCGCTCGAATACTTTTAGGTGACTGATGAACGGATAATGGCCGGCCTTTCTACCGACATACAGAAGGCAGTTTACTTCAGTTCTGCTAAAATCTTCCGAACATGATATCACAGGATTTCGGACCCAAAAACCGCCTTTAATGAATTGCCCCCGTTTCGAAGTGAGATCAAGCAAGCAACGTTCTGATTTGCATTTTCTTTTGATGCCGACGACAAATACCTCCCTGGGGACTCCCACGGGGATAGCACGCTGTACAAGTATCTTGTTTGTTTGTTTGTTTCTCCTTCTCTCTCTTTTTCGTCCATATAATTTACCAATCGTTTCAAAAACTATTATAAACAATTATTGATTATGGAAAGGCAGAGTTAACGGGTTACAAAAATATAAATGAAAACATTGGATATTTATTTTTCGGGGAGCTTGTTCTCCCCATCCCGATGGGTATGACTTTGTGACTCGGACAAGTAACTACTCTGCGAGTGGTCGGTAAGGAAGATTTTGTAACCCTCCTACTTGCCGCACGTGGAAAGGTTCCAATATGGCAGTAGCAAGGGTTTTGGTTTATGGCGGGAAAGGAGCCCTTGGAGCTACCTGTGTGACTTATTTCAAATCCAAAGATTGGGTAAGAAAAAACAACATTCTTAGCCTAGCAATATTTACGGGTGGAAAGTAGTTTTGTGCCTGGAACTTTTGACGATCGCTTTCTATTTTGTGGTGATAATCAGCTGCAATCAGGCCCTGCTTTAATAATCCGTACTTCACTAGGTCTGTACATCATCAGTAAAAAAACATGCTTTTAGATTAGAATCGTCTGATCCACATTTCTGAAGCGGCAGCTGGAATTCCAGAATTCGTCGGAATTCTTAAATTTGAGTTGGTTTTTTTTTCAGTTAACATTTGTGGCACGAATTATGTCAAAAATTTCCAATAAAGCCGTCGCGAAATTAAGCTAAAGGGCTTATCGTTAAATCTGTGAGCGGAGAAATCATATTTTAGTCTTCGCATTCAATAACTTTACACCTCGATATGAGTAGATACTTGCTTAATAACATTATCGTATGTGGAAGAAAACGTGCATTGTGCGTCGAGGAGAAATTAAAAGAGAAGCACTGTGGGTAATATCTAATAATCTTTGGAGGCCAATGTTATTTAAACAGGGAGAAATCCCTGTTTGGCAGAAGGAGCTGTTTCCCCTTTGTAGATTTCTTAAGGCAGCAAATAGTTTTGTGCTGTCAGTTAACACAGTTTCAGAGGGTCTGTAGAAGCCGTGGTTTAGA